GTAAGATCAGCCCTCCTCTCAGTTTGTGACTGTAGTAACACTCTCTAGAGCACTTCAAGAGCCAGACTGACAAGTCATCCCAGGTAACCAGAGCCACTCTGGCCTCCCTCTAGCTGGTAGTTGCCTTTCCTGAGCTCCCCTTGTCCAAAGGCTCAGGCCTAGCTATCTTGTGACTAGGCTTCCAAATTCCCATTGCTACCAAAGGGAAACCAGCCCCATGCTTTCAGGGCCATTGTGCTTCTCAGTGTTTCTGAGCGGCCCAAAGTGGCAGCAAACTTCTCTTTCCTTTTTTCCACTGTTTTCAGTAGGCTCTGTATTTGTAGAGCTGTGCCATGTTTGAGCCAGAGGAGGAATGGAAAATGCTTCAGGGACTCACACTTTTGTTACACTTGTGAACTCTAAATGTGATGTTTTGCATGAACATTTGAAGCATGTCATCTGTGTGCAAGCTCCAACCCCATTTTCTCTTGATTGTCAGCAAAAGCATTCAGGAGAGGACACCTTAAATACTGTCACTGTTCACGTGTCCCCTTGAGACCTGTGTAGCAGCACCAGACATTTCTTGTTCTCTGCTTCCCTTCTGGATTTTGTCAGTAAATAAAACTTCTTGGACTTCTGAAGCCTAACCTGAAAGTGTTCCCCTTGTCCTTTGGAATCATTGTCTAGCTCTCGTGGGGTTTTCACTCCAGGCTTAGTCCATTTTGGAGCTGAGAGATGAAACTTTGAATGAATATGCTGAATGATCCTCCTCTGCCAGCGGGATCTCTGGGCTGTGGCCTCGGAGTGACTGATTTCTGTTCATGGGTGTTTTAAGGACTGGCTCTGTACGGGAAAAATTCCTTCTTAAGTTTTCTGCTTGTTTCAGTCCTGTCGTTTTCTTATTTTCTTCCTTTGGGTTGGTCTCAGTGATGAACCAGTCTTTGATAAGACAGTCCTGTAGTGCTGAAGCCTGGAGAGGGAGGAGGAGGAAGAACCAGTGAGGCTGCAGCCCATGACCTCTGACCTGTGTGCTGGGTGTCCAGCATGGGAGAGGTGACTGGGGAACAGGGCTTGGCGGCTTGGCTCTTAGGATACATCCTGTGAGCTGTGCTAAATGGGGGAGAGAGATTCAGGCAGAGAAAGGATCCTGGGAAGCCTGATCATTGGGGCCTTTGGCTGAAAGCTCATCCCTTCCTCCTGTTTTAGGTGAAACAAGAGCTGTGGGGAGACTCCTGCCCTGCTGTGGAGGCCTAGGTGCCTGTTGCAGGAACATGTCGACCCTGGTGGGGACAGCACGGGACAGCAGGCTCACCCCTAAGTGTGGGTGTGGAAAACCTTTTTCCCAGGGCCTTTGCAGTCACATGTTGGTGCCTT